CACCATGCTTCACTGTTGGGATGATATTGGGCAGGTAGTGAGTGGTGCTTGGTTTGAGAAGAGGCTTCTGTCTAGCCACTCTGCCATAAAGCCCAGATTGGTGGAGGCTGCAGTGATGGTTGGCCTTCTGGAACTCTATCCCATCTCCACACAGGATCTCTGGAGTTTAGTCAGAATGATCATTGGGTTCTTCCTCTCTTACTAAGGCCCTTCTCCACCGATTGCTCAATTTGACTGGGTGACCTGCTCTTGAAAGAGTTCTGGTTGTGCTTCTTCCATTTGAGACTTATGGAGGCCACTGTGCTCTTAGGAACCTTCAGTGCAGCAGAAATTTGATTGCAGCCTTCCCCAGATCTGTGCCTTGCAATAATCCTGTTTCTGAACTCTGAACGCAGTTCCTGTGATCTCATGACTTTTGCTCTGCTACAGTATGCATTGTCAGCTTTGAGGCCTTGTATAGAGAGGTGTGTGCTTTTCCAAATCATGTCCAGTCCATTTAATTTACCACAGATCAAGTCCAAGGTATAGGAACATATCACCAACAATCAAGAGAAATGTGGAGCAGTGGAGCTAAATTTCAAGTATTATTGCAAAGGGTCTGAATACTTATGCCCGTGTGATATTTCAGTTTTTTCTCTTTAATAAATTTACAGACATTTCTAAAATTCTGTTTTCACAAGTCCCAATTATGTGAATCCTCTCAAGTAAAGAACAACCAAGGATGTTTCTTTCACTATTTGAAGACAGATCCCATTTCTATTGATAAAGGAGGTAGCTTGATCTCTAGATCAGTGATGGCAAACATTTTTCTGCTCGGGTGCCAAAAGGGTGTGCACCCATACCCATAATGCAATGTCTCCCCCGGTGCATGCGCATACAACCTCCCCCCATAGGCGCAAAGGCCTCACTGAAGTCTCCGGATTTTCGGTAGGCCCATTGGGCCGTTTTCCGCCCTCCCCAGGCTTCAGGAAAGCCTCCTGAAGCCTGGGGAGGGTAAAAATGGCTTCCCCCGCCCTCCGAAAGGCCAAATATCAGCTGGGCAATGCATGCTGGAGCTGACATAGGGCAACATCTTGTGTGCCCTCAGATATGTCTCTGTGTGCCACAGGTAGCATGAGTGCCATAGGTTCACCAACATGGCTCTAGATCATTAAAGACAATCTCAGTGGTTGTTCTTTCACAGCAGCTATTTTGCAAATGTGATTCCTCTTATCTTAGGGCAGGTATTTTCTCTAGCCTACACTATGTTCTCTGTATGTATTTATTAGTGTCCAAATGTTCGGGGGCAGTAGTATAGAATAGGGAAAAAAGCAAAGTTATGTTATTTTGTTATAAATCTAAATGACTATATTTTTGTTGGAAGTAAGAAAGGCAAGTTACTTTTACAGAGGTATTCTGATAAACATTATTTTTAGTAGATCTTAATTTCTTCTATCTCTTTCAGTGTGGTGGATAAGTTGATAATGATCTGTGATAACTGTATTGAAGAAGAGATTCCCCAGTGGTTGTGGATACTCCCAATTCTTTATCTATTTACTGTGAATGATTCTGAATATAAAACTAGGACTTGCCTTGAATCAGAAGAGAAATGGGCAAGGTTGGAATGTATTCGGTATTTGGAATTCAGAAATAAAAACAGAAACTTAAACAAGTAAGTTTTTCCGCCTAGTATTGTTATCCCTGAAATAATTTCTAATTTTTTAAAAGTTAATTTGAGCTAAGACATGGATTTCCACTATTTATACAGATAGTCCTCAATTTATAACTATTTATTTAGTGACTGTTTTAAATTACAACAGCACTGAAAAAATGACTTATGATTG